ATTTAAATAAGCCCAAATCCCTCAGCCTCTCCTGGTAAGTCATGTACTCCAGCCCCCAAATCATTTTTGTTGCCTTCCGCTGAACTTTCTCCAATGCGTCCACATCCTTTCTGTAATGAGAGGACCAGAAGTGAACACACTACTCCAGATGTGGCCTCATCAGTGCCAAATAAAGGGGAATAATCACTTCGCTAGATCTTCTGGCAATCCTCCTACTAATGTACCCTAATATGCCGTCAGCCTTCTTGGCTACAAGGGCACTTTGTTGACTCATATCTAGCTTCTTGTCCGGTGTAATCCTCAGGTTCTTTTCTGCCAAACTGCTGCTTAGCCCGTCAGTCCCCAGCCTGTAACATTGCTTGGGATTCTTCTGTCCCAAGGACAGGACTCTGCACTTGTTTCTGTTGAACATGCTTAAACCCTCGACAGTTCTTTGCAAGCTCAAGCAGTGACTCTCACATGTATACTGCTGTTTGTAGCAACGTAGTGGCCTGTTTCTGGAACCTTTCTCTGACATGGGGAAAGGCTCTGGGAAAGGCTTCCACACCAGGGAACTCCTGGGCACTTTTGGAGCTTTTCACTGCACCCCAAGAATAGATGCCGCCTGCCATTGCCCGCTGCTCTTGTATTGATTGTATGATGATTACTTAAGAATTCTCAGTTAACACTCTGAGGTGTGATAGGTTCCTGTTCAAGAGCAGACAGGGTATTTTTTTACATTAAACTTTAATTGGGACCCCTGACGTGCACAGTATCAACATTCCCATTGAGGACAGTTTGAGGCCGATTTTTTCCTATGGACAGGTCTGCCTGCCAGTCTGTATGGCATTTAACTTAGGAAACACTCCCTCTTGGATATTGTCTGCACCGACATTTTATTTGTGGCCAGCTAGAGTGTGAATCTTCCCCACGTTAGTCTGCCATGCATTTGGTATCCCTGTGGATCCTGCTGGCACACATTAACAGTTCCTTAGTGCACATAGGCCTGTTTCAGAGCAGTGTAGATCCAAGTATGTGAAGGGTGTGTCTGCAGAGGCTACATGGATAATTAGTGCAAAGTAGAGTCATGCTCCAGCTAAATGTTTTGTGTGCACAAACCCTTAATTACTAACTTTTACTTCAAGAGGCAAGGGAAAGGACTTCAATTTTTCCCTCCTCCCACTCTTAGTAAAGCAAACACAAGCCCCATGCCACTGAAGGCCCAAAGCATCCTTTAAGAATACTGTTCTTTGTGTGTCAGATGGATTTGCATTCTGTAGCTACATGATCCAGAGTGTGTGCTGGAAGAGGGGAGTGCAAGAAATAAAGACTTTATTTAAAATCCCTTGCACTTTTCTGGCTTAAAAAAGAATTAGAGTTTCACTTACATTTCTGATTTTCTTTGCATTCACTAAGATTTTAATGTTTGTGACGTTTGTCCCCCTACATTATTCCAGTTTCAAGCCAGTGTATCTCCAGTGAAATCAGTAAACATTGGTATAATATACTGATGAGTCAGCTGAGGTTCTTTTAAAGCTTTCTTTTTTAATATGAATTTACTCAGAATTTGAGTTCATAAGAAACTGAATAACATGGCAACAAGATGTTTTTAAATCTGATTTTAGCAAAATAAATAATTGCCATCTTGGTGCAGAAGTTTCAAGCCAGTGTATCTCCAGTGAAATCAGTAAACATTGGTATAATATACTGATGAGTCAGCTGAGGTTCTTTTAAAGCTTTCTTTTTTAATATGAATTTACTCAGAATTTGAGTTCATAAGAAACTGAATAACATGGCAACAAGATGTTTTTAAATCTGATTTTAGCAAAATAAATAATTGCCATCTTGGTGCAGA